AGCACTGACCCGAGCCAGGTTGGCAAGGAGGCCCTGGGGAGGTCTAGGCTGCAGCGGCATCTGCACGAGGATGCCCTGGCCGTGCCCTGCTGGAGGCCTCTGCTGTGCCCCCACGCACCTGGGGGTGGCCCAGGCGCAGCCCCTGCTGCTCATGCCCGGTCAGGAGGCTGACCCGCAACAAGGTGTGCTTCACTTGCCCATCACTCAGCCCCACCAGGCATGCATCCCGCACACACCCTGAGGGCTTGACTGGTAACCGGCTTGCAGGCTGCATCTACAACACTTGCTTGCATGTTTCTTAGCAGGACTAAGAGCACAGGAGGGCCTGGACTTCTCAATTTGGCCAGGATCTGCCACAGGAGGCCCAGTGCAACATAACTATTTATACAGAACATCATTGCTCGCTCTCTGTAGCCTGGTGAACAGGACACTGCCAGCACGCCTGAGTAGCTGAAATGCTGCAGGGGAACACAAGATTTTTAATTAAGGTTATGACTCTGCAGAAGCACTTCCTTGCATAAAAAGCCTTTTGGACCAGGCAAACTTCAGATGCAGATTTTAATCTTTTCATCAAAATCATTCTTGCTGAAGCAGGAGGTCCTGGTCTTGGCCACAGTGTGGGTCCTGTGCCAGCAGACACATGAGCAGGTATATGTCAGTGCTGAGAAGAGGCTCTGCCTGCAGGCCAGCATGCAAACGTCAGCCTGGCAGGAGGCACCCAGTACTGTCATGGGAAGTCCACAAGCGTCGAAGAGCCTAGTGCTCAGTACTGAGTGTCCCCAACAGCCCTGGCAGTGGGGATAGCCCCTTGTGGGATGAAGCTCTGCCTGTAACCCCATCCACAGAGGTGTCGACCATACCTTGTGCCACATATCAGATCCAAAAGCCGCAGGAAGGACAACGCGTCTGACCCAGATAGAGTGCCGCTTCCTTGGCTGCAGCTGGAGAAAAGCAGACCTGATGCCAACGGTCTCGGACCTCAGACTGACTCCTGCATCTGACGTGGGCTCCTGCAAGCTCCCCTTTCCCCCCAGAACCCCCTGCCAGATGCCGGCCTGCGGGGCGCGGTGGGGAGGCAGATCTGCAGGGTGCCACTCCAACCCACCCTTAGCGACCCCAAAGGACAGGCCAGCCCCAGGCTGTGCAACAGTTAAAGCCCAGCATTTGCCTTGCAGGAGGGCCAGGAGATCCTGTTGCTCAGAGAAATGCGTTTGTCCAAGACAAACAGCGGCCGGGCATTGTTTCAGCATGAGTCAAATGAGTGGAAACGCTCCCGTGCCATCCTGTTTTGCTGTCTGAAGGTTCCCCCCTACCTTCAGGATGTGCAAGCAGGCTCCGGGACATTTCCTATTTGCTGTTCTCTTGCTCCTCCTGTTTCCCGCAAGCGGCTGTACCCAGCGTGCCAGGGCACAGTGCGCTCAGCGCAGCAGCCGAGCACTCTGCAGGCACGGCCCATGCCTGGAAAAGTGCAGCCTACAACCAGACAGCCAACGGGTAGGAACAGCATCACCTCCCAGAAAACAGTGCACCATTTACCAAATACTCCAGTCTGTACCATAGAATCACAGAATCATAGAATGTTTTGGGTTGGAAGGGACCCCTAGAGGTCATCTAGTCCAACCCCTCTGCAGGGAGCAGGGACACCGCTAACTAGATCAGGTTGCTCAGAGCCCCATCCAACCTGGCCTTGAATGTTTCCAGGGATGGGGCCTCCACTACCTCTCTGGGCAACCCGTTCCAGTGTTTCACTACCCATTTACCTCCTCTGGTACAGGCCAAGTAGGTAACAAGGATCCACCACAGCCAAGTGGACTGATCTCCATCCCTCTTCCCCACTGCTACAGAGAGGGGAAGATGGCACCCAGACCTTTCCCAGCCACTGCTTACCCTGCCCCAAGGGTGCGAGTCCACAGATCTGTGAGCAAGATCCGGAAAGCTTTGCTGACCCACCTCTGACATTTTGCTACCCTGCTGTTAAGGCCTCAGTGTTGAATGTGTGCCGGCGCAGCCATGGTTCACACTGACACAACCGCTAGGCAAGGGTGCACCCACACCGCCGCAGAGTCACGGCCACGGGCACCGCGTCCTGCTTGGAAAACACCTCCCTCTCTGCTGTGGAAGCAGGTACCAGGATGCTGGCATCTCCTTCAGCAGCAAATCCAACCACATCACCTTGCTGGGAATGGTTTGAGTGCAAAGGAGCAATGCTGGGATAAATCCCTCTGGGCAGTGCTGGTGCTGCAGAGAGCTGCATGAAGTGGGGAGGAAAACATGAGTGGAAATCGAGAGACCCTGCCATCGCCCCGCAGCCTGGTAACCCTCCTCAACCCCCACATCCACTTTCCCAATTGATGCTTCAAGCCTGTGCATGTGGCAAATCACACAGCTAGAGCTGGCACCTCTTATTTCACACCTACAATGGGGTTTTATCTTGCTAAAGTATAAAAATAGCAAAGATTTTTTTTTTTTTTAACAAAGGCACTCATGCTTCGTCAGCTCGCGTTTTTGTCTGGAAACCCTTTTAGGAGGAGGTGTGAGCCCTGCGGGGCGGAGGGCTCGGCGGGAGGGCAGGCTGGCGTTTGCACAGCTCACCCCGTGCCGGGTGATCTGGTGACAAGAAGGATCAGGAACTTGTTTTCACATGAAGATCAAAACAGCACAAGAAGAAAAGCACAACATAGCCCAAAGTGACCCAGAACGTCAAAACTACAAAAACAGAAAGTTCAGCCCAAAAATGCAGCCTGTGAGGGCTGTTATTGCTTGGCTTGTTTGTCCCCACCACGGGTGGCAGGAGCAGGGAGGGCACGGCTTTGGCTCAGGTCAGATATTCAGTGCTCAGCCCTGTGGTCCCATGCCTTGTCCCTGCAGTGCCGGAGATCTCTCCCTCCAGTGGAGCACCCCAAAGCTGAACTCGGTCCCCTCCAGGCACGCCTAGTCCCACAAGCCACATCCAGGCAGAACACCATCCCCACTCCCTAGCTATGCATGGAAATAATGCAAAACTGATCTCTGCAGAGACAGAAACACAGAGCAATTCCGACATGGACTAACTTCAGGCAAACAAATGCTTAGTTTATCCCGTAACAGGCTGCGCCGCTAACGAACGGGATCTGCCCTGCTGGGCAGCGCTGACTGAGGCTGACAATCCGACACAGCCCCACGGCCGCGCTCGGCTGTCGCTGCTCCCTCCATCCCGCTTTAAGCTCTAACAATTGGATATGATTAACCAGGGCTGGATTTACCATTCTGCCAGGGCTGGATTTACCATTCTGGGCACCAAAATCCTGCCAGGACACCCAAAGCGGATACAGGAACCCTCCATGCTCTGAGCACGGTGCCACCTCACAGAGAGGAGACCTCAGCATCCACGTTCCTCTGGTCCCGGCTCTCCCTGCCAAGTCACCAGCCAGGAGGGGAGGTTACACTTCTGCCACAGGCACAGAGATGCCTTCTTCCAGCCTGGGAACAGTGGTGACTTCCGCAGTTTGAGCAACCAGCAATGCTCTCATGAGCACGCTCTCAGCTGGCTTGGGCTTCTAGGAAATGATCACCAGTGAGTAATGACCACCAATCCCCCGCTGGTGACTTCTCTCTGGGTCCACCCTCATCCCATCTGGATGCACATGCAGCAAGAATGGCTGGTCCAGATCTTTGCAGCACAGCCTTTTCCCAAGAACACTGCTGGACATGTCTTAGGAGGTTCAGTTATTGGTCTCACTACTAAGGCTTCCAGTAGGGAAGGAAAAGACATACAGAGCTCTTAAGCTTTCTTACCTTTCTCCAAGAACATTTCCATTAGGATTACCAAATCTAGCCAAGCCATCGCAAACGTTCAAACTCTGCTCAGCTGAGAAGCCATTAAGGCATCCTGAGTTGATGATCTGATTCACTCTGAACTAAAACAAAACCTGAGGTTCATCCTTGGAACAATGCAGGCTAAACCAAATCAATTTCTTTACACAGCAGCCTGGAAATATCTGTGTCCCTAAAAAGCCCACCGGTGGCCTGTGAGTGGGAAGAGCAAGGCCACCCCTCGGTGCATGGCTCCCACCACAGTCAGCAGCGGCTGGTGGACCAAGGGTCTGAAGAGCAAGTGACCATGGGGCTATCCGTGTGCTTGCAAGCCCAGGTCACCAACAGAGTTGCCCACTCGCTCTTTCCTGGTGGAGTATTTCTTCAACAGAAGGTGCACTGACAGAACCTCACTGTTGCCCAAACTCAATCCCTACTCTCTGCCTACAGGGAAATGAAGCAACCACCAAATTCCACCAACCAATGGGGACTGGAAGACACATCTCTCCACTGTGTCAGCCATTTTAGGCATTTCCCAAAAGATTTCTCATATCAGCAAACGATGGGGTTCACACTCACTGCAAGCAAGCTACTGGCTGGAGAAGGCAAACTGATCTGCTTAAACATCAGGTCAGGGGGATTCCCTGAATACTGGGTCAGACATTTTGCGGAAAACACGGGTGGAGAGCAAAGAAGAAAGCTATACAGCAGGACGCAAGGCAAGCGCTGACCGTACCTTCCTCTTCATCAGACTAACACGATGCAAAAGCACAGCTGAAACATGCTGGTCCCAGGCCCACGTGGGCTAAGATGTTGCTCCTCCTTGGGCAGAGTGGCAATATTCACAGCCAAAACCTCTGAGCCCCGACACACAAACTGATGCTGCAGAATGCCATCAGAGCACCTCAGCAGGAGTGGTTGGGCAAACACACCTCTAGCGGATTTGCTATAATCTAGGTATGGATTTTGGCACCTATGACCAGGAACTTGGTTCTGGAAGCCTTGTGTCGGCACATGAGAACAAGGAAACCACAGCGAGAGTGTACACTTTGTTCATACTGACCTACAAGTTTCAGATTAAGTCTCCCTGCAGGGATTAAAGCAGGGAGCTGCTTCCCCCTAGATTTTCTTCCAAAAACTGACCTGAGTTGAAGACACACCAGCTGCCTGCTGCCCACCCCCTGCTCCCCATGGGGAGGGGGCTGTACCTGTACACTGGCTGCATTTCCCTGGCAATCCCGATGACTGCTCCCTCCGGGAAGTTGTCAAATTCATCAAACAGGTCTCGGATGTTGGTCTTATACTTCAGGTCCAAGTCTACCTGGATGATCTGTGTTATTTCTGAAAGCACAAAGAGGAAAAATCAGCTATACAAGACAAAATCATAGCCAGTGATGACCAATGGTGACATGACAAATTATACCCAATGAGGATTTGGTGCCATCAGCTCCATGGGCAAGACTCAGCCAGTCAAGGGCAAACTCAATCCAGCTGCAACCTCTATATAAAGCCACCAACTGTCAACCACCACAACAGCATTTACCACTACGCATTTTAGACATGATTTACTTTGGAAACGATTTCTGGTGACCTCCTGCTTCTATCCACTCCCACCTTCCTTCCAGAAGACCGGTTTTCCATATGACTGACAAAAGCAAGAGGTAGCTCCAACTCAGCCTCCCGCTTTCTGGAAGTGCTTCTGCAGGAGCAGCCACACAAAACCCCATGCTCACCTTAGGTACTTCTGGGAAAAGCTATCAAGTCCATGAGTGTTTCCCAGCTCCAGCCCCCACAGCATCCCTGGCTCAAAGCATCAGAGCAATTCACATCACTGACAACATCAGTAATGCCATCAGCCACATGACACCCTCAGTAACACCTGGACAAGCTCATTAGCTGCCAGCAGCCTGACATGGGCTTCCCTGAGCGCAGAGAGTGCAGCCCCCTGCCCACATGGAACTGCTGAAGGTCTGCAGCAGTGGTAGTGGTACTCTGTCAGAGATAAGGAAGGTTGTGCAGATATGGAAGCGTCTTCCACTTGCAGTGGGAAAGTTGAGAGCAAGGAGAAGCTGGAGGACATCTTTACCAAGGCCAGCCCTGAGCTCATCAGCAGGGTCAGGCCCCTGCCTGCATTTGTCATAGTCACCCCTGCAGCACACAAGACCGACTAATGGAGACATTGCTTGGGAGAGGGTGCAGGAGACAAGTCTCATCAAGACTGCTTGTCCTGGGCAGACCTGGGGATGTTGTACAGATTGCAGCAGGCCAAGTGGAATGTAGCAAATGCTACAAGAGATTGGACTGTCCCATGGGTTCCTCCAGCCCTGGGCAAAGCCATGGTCACCTTCTGGCCAGCAAAGCTCAGCCCTGCTTGGGGACTGCAAGCAGAGTCAAGCCATCCCCTGTGGCATTACGTAATGCCAACGCTATTTATATGTGTTATAAAAGCCCAGAGCAAATTGGCCGGGTCGCTTAGCACTTGGCACTAATTGGATTAAAAAGACAGTGTCAACCTGTTTCGGCCCCCACTCGTCATGCACAGGTGCCGTTACAGCTTTCTGCAGGCTGGAGGTGTGTGTCACCACCGCTTTCACAGCAATTAGCAAACAAGGCCCTCATCCTTCCTCCTGCCCAGTACTTGCAGGCAGGAGGACGAGCCCAGCCTGCCCTCACCCTCTGCCACCTGTACCCTCCGTGGCTATGGGCAGGGCTTCCCATCAGGCTGGCGTTTCTGTGGCGCAGCCCATGCTCCAGCCTTCACACCATCGCCGTTCCTCACCCCCGCGCCCCGCCGTGCTCGGGACAGGCTGCTGCCTACCCCTGGTCTGCTGAGAGCAGGAGGCAACCGCTCTGTTTTCAGCCCCAAAGCTGCTGTTGGGACTAGAGACCTGGGGACGCTGAGAGCAGCCAGGCATGGGCAGCTATCCTCTGGCACGGGAATGCAGCTTTGCCATTTCAAATGCATTCATCACTTGCTGTTTGTCTTTCAAGCAGACGCCGGGCTGTAGAGCAGCTCTGAATTTTTTGCAGATGCTGCACTAATCCGGGGCTCTTGGCAATTGGTCGTATCTACCACTCTGTCCTCGTTTAAGAAGGAAAAAGCCCCATGAGGTTAAGCAAGAAATGTACTGCTTACTCTGCGAAGCATCCAAGCAGAAATATAAATCAAGGAGAAATAGTATCTAAGCTACAACCCAGGCTGTATCTCAATTTATTTTTTTAACATCCATCACTCTCTATCTGCTAAAGGGAAAGGCCAGCCAGCAGTATAGCAATCCCCAAGCCTACCTAGTATTTACTACCACCATAATCCTCTGTTTGCAAAGATTTAAAACCCAGGCGTAGTAATTCACTACAGGCTAAAGCAGGTCTTGACCCGAAAGCAATTTCCCTCAGCCTTCCTAGCTGCCTTAGCTCAAGCTCAAGCAGTTGAATCGGCAGAGCAGAGGATTTCTGCAATGAGGAAGGAGACATGTATCCCAAATACCCCAAACCTCTCCAGCGGTCCATACCACAGTGGTGCAAAACCTCAAATCCTTAATGCTACTGCACTTGAGAATATCCAGGCTGGTCACAAAAATCCAGGGCAAGGAGACCCAGACCTCTAGCACAAGCTCAGCCCAAGCAAAACAGTGGGAGCCTGAGCCCTCCAAGGCGCTGCCAAGGACGGGAAGAGGGGCTGGGGTTCCCAGGAGGATCCCAGCACAGCTCACCCCAGCACACAGCAGCCTTCTGACGCCTCATCAGGTTTCAATTAAATCAACTGCGAGGCACGTCATCTGATTGTTCTCCACAATTACAGATGAGCACTAACTGCAATTAATCACAGCGGACAATGAAAGCTGAGCTTGGGGGAAGCTCCAACCCCCACCCTGCCTGCCCCAGCACCAGCACCCCACACTGGTCCCACGCTGTGCTGGCAGAGCCCCCCGAGGTAAAACTCACTAACAAATTAGACCCAGAGAGCGCAAAGTACTTTTCCTTTTTTTTTTTTTTTTTTTTTTTTTTAAAGCAAGCATGAGCACAGATAGATTAATGGCCAAGATGATTTCTCTGCCTGCAACTGGCAAGGGGCCAGGCACCAGTTTTTATGATGTATCATGCTCTTTCACCCTTTTACCAAATGCTTTGTCCTGGCTGCCACGTGGGGGTGGAGGAATTGCGTGCTCTCTTAGGCACAAACTGCTTGGAGGGGTCCAGCTGGAAATGTAGAAGACTGAGAGTGTTTTGCTCGACAAGTGAGTTTTGTGCCTTACTGTGTATTACCCTCTGCTCCGTTCAACTCTGGCTCTTCCAGCCACAGCGTGTAAAGGGGAGTTACACCGCTCAAAGCGGAGATGATCTCCATTAGCAGTGACAGCTTTACGGCACAGGCTGGCCCCGTTTAACGCTCGTAATGTTTTACTGCAGCCTCGTACCAGCAGCTGCAGCAGGGCTGCTGTCCAGGCTCGGCTCAAACCCTCCCTCCAGCTGCATCCAGAGGAGAAAGACCGGCTTAAGGGATGGAAGATCCCACAGCAGGGTCTGCAGTGCTGGAAACCAGGAGAGAAAGCCAGTGCCCAAGCTGCCTTGCACCAGGGCTCAGCTGCCAAAGAGAGGGAGAATCGAGGTTTTCCCAGAGCAGGACTCCAGAGAGATGCTGGTGCAGATCCCCTCTCATACAGGTGTCCCCTCCTTCCCAAGAGCCTCAGCCCAGCAAGGGGGCACAGGCAGGTGGAGGTCCCTTCCCTGTGCCCTGCTGCCCAGCATCCTCTGCTGGCACCTGGCAGAGCCACGCCGGCATGCAGGCAGGCGCCCCGGGTGCATGCCAAGGGGTCTGGATGCTCTGAGCGGCACCCAGGAGCCCCTCTGGCAGGGGGCAGCTTCTGCAGCAAGTCTGATGGCCCTTCCCAGGCCTTGAGCCTGCTTGTAGACTAGGACTACTTTCCCATATCCTGAGGAAGGGATGGCCTGCAAGAGATTTAAATAGTGGATTTAAAACTACAGTGAAGTGGATGGATGATGGATGGGAGATCAGGAAAAGAGGAGATGCAAAGGCAGGAGCCTGCATGGAGCCGGGGGGAAGCTGCCAAGCGCATAAGCCTTCAGGCACAACTCCCTTGGCTGCTGTGGGAACTCCAGCTGCTGGCTAAGAATCTGATGGGAGCAAAGGAGATCCCCTTCTTGGCTATTTGCCTTTTCCTGCTCCAGCGCCTTTGCCACCAGCAAGTCGGTGCCTCCCCAGCACTGCAGGCAGCCAGGGCAGAGGCCGGCAGCAGCAGCAGCAG